CTTCCTCTTTTTCTCTGACCCTCCACCTTACCCAGCATGACATCCTTCTCCAATGATTGTTTCCTCTGGACAATATGTCCAAAGTAGGAGAGACGAAGCTTAGCCATCCTGGCCTCCAAGGAGCACTCTGACTGCATATACATGTTGATGTTACCAAAAATAGGTTAAAAAAAAAATTCTCAATTTTGTAATCAAATTCAAACATATAGCAAGTAAATTTGTCTAGGCAAAAGTATTATTAATACACACACACACAAAAAAAATATTTTTGTTTCATTATCCAGGAGTGAGGATAAAAGCATCTAACAAATTTGTCCTATACATATAGGTACTAGAAGATCAAGTTAGAGATCTAATGGAAAAGTGAAATGCCTACTTCTTCTTCTTTGTTCCCTTGGATAATACAAAATAATGGTTACTACCTTTAACACATTTTACAAAAAAGAAGTTCTCATTACTTTTCAGAATCAAAAATGTATTATCCTGGAGGACTTCTGGTATGGCAGGACAAGCAGAAAAGGTAAGGACTTGCTCCAGCAGAAAAAACTAGTGGGATCTCGCAAAAGGAAACATTCATAGACCAGTCCCACGACTTTTGGACTATCATAATCTCTCCTGGACCCACATTTTTGAGAAACCACGCTAACAAGGATAAAGAAAAGCATGTATTTTGGGACTCTTTCCTGTGGGGACCGCAGGGAGCTCCCACGACAGCAGAGTTTGGAAGGCGGGGCCAGAGCTGGCCATTATAGAAAGTGGTGTCTCCCAGAAGGGCCAGAGGCGATACAACTTCCTCCCGCCCCAAGTCTCCCTGCCCTGGCTTGAGACCCCAATAAAAATTGGCTGGGTGCAGCTCACCCATGCCAGGAGTTTGAGGAACTCTGGAGGGTGTAAGAAAGGCTACACCAGCTTCTTAACATCACCCATCATCCCCCATCTGTCTCTGCAGCTAAGCTCCCTGACCCCATTCCTAGTTATCAGTTGGAACTCATAAAGGGGCCGTTCATATACCAGTCCCACGGCTTTTGGACTATCATAGTCTCTCCTGGGTTCACATTTTTGAGAAAATGCACTAACAAAGATAAAGAAAAGCGAGTATTTTGGGACTCTTTCCTGTGGAGACTGCGGGTAACTCCTGTGACTGCAGAGTTTAGAGAGCGGGACCAGGGCCAGCCCGCTTGGACAGCTGCATCTCTCAGAAGGGCCAGAGGCGATATAACTTCCTCCCGCCCCAAGTCTTCCCGCCCTGGCGTGAGATCCCAATAAAAATAAGCCGGTAGAGCGCACCCACGCATGTAGAATTCTTGTTGACTACACATCCCTCCTAGAGGTGGGAACTTATCCTCCCTATGTCCTGTAAGAAGAAATAGCAATCGTGGACATATAG